CTGAGATGGAGGCAGAGACGATGACGTGGAGAGATGGAGCAGCTGGGGACTTTAGACCCAGAGAGGGAGAGGGGCTGTGTGCTGATGACCAGGGGTCAGGCTTGCAGGGTATACCTTTTGGTTGGTTAATGATGCATGGAGGGGATTGTAACCATGGCAATGTAATGATAAATGATAGGATGAATGTAAAGCTAATGCTGTCCCATGTAAACTATCACATTAATTCACAATAAAACATTAAAAACAAAACCAAAACACAAAGAGTCCAGCCTCAGAAACTCCGTTAATCAGCTGGACTCGATCCTATAGGCTCACTGTGAGTTGGGATGGGCTGGGTGGCAGAGGGTTTGGGCTTTTGGTTTTGCTAGTCACCTAGCAGGGTTCATAGTCTTCTCGAGAACTAGTTCTAGTCAGAACACCTGAGACGGAGCTGGCAGGGACCCAGAGAGCAGAGAACAGCAGAAGACCCGTGGATCTCACTCTGTAAGGAAGCAGGCTGACCAGCTGACCCAGTGTCTGAGTTCAGTGACCCAGTAGACAGAAACATCTTCTCACACAGCACTTGGCCAGGAGTCCGGGGGGTGGCACAAACGGTTAATGCTGGGCCACTAATGGAAAGGTTGAATGTACTTTGGAAGAAAAAGCTGGTGATCTATCTCTGAAGAGTCAGCCATTGAAAACCCTACAGGGGCACAACCAACCCTCCAAGATCAAAAGGTCAATGTTGGCTCAGGGATACAGCTCACAAGGCGACAGGGACAGGAAACAAGGAAGAATGGAAATGGGAAATGCGGGGAGGAAGTAGGAAGTTTACAGTTCTGTGGGGTCTGCAATCAACGGCACGAAGGAAAATGTGTATGAATCTCTGAAATGAAAACTGATTTTGTCTATAAACTTTCACCCAAATCTCAGAAAAGCAAACCATACGGAGCACAGGTCTACTCTGACACACGAGGAATCGAGGCTCCACCCAGATTCTGCTGCTTCTTCCGTGGGGGCTGTGTGTCTGAGGTTGTCCTGTTGAGGCATGTGAGCTGTGGCCGTCAGATGTATCTGTGAGTCACAATTAGGATTGAGAAAAACTGTCCACTGTGGGCTTTAGATGAGGACCCTGAGGCCACGGTGGGACGAGACACAGGTAAGCAGTAGCAATCATTTTGAGCTCTCTGTGCAAGCTTTATCACATGCCCTCCCCCCCATGTCTGTTCCATGAAATTGAGTTTTGACTGCTCAACCACGCTGGGCTGGCTTCCAGGCCCAAGCACCTGCTGTCTTCTGTCCCTTGAGATGCTTACCGTACAAACGCAGCTGCCAGGCCAACAACTCACCAGGTCAATAGCGTGTCTTCTTCTACAGGTGGGGGATGGAGGCTCAGGGAGGTGAGATGAACCCACTTCACAGACAAGGAAACAGAGGCTGGGGAGGAAAGACCCAACTCCGCCCAAGAGCCACAGTACTTACTTAGCACAGAATTGAGGGCGGGGTCAGTGCCCGAGGGGCTTTGATGGTGGTGGTCCCCATTTGTTGTTGTCTGTGGGCTGTTAAGTTGGTTTTGACTCATAGCGACCCTATATAGGGTTTCTAAGAGTGGCTCTTGGGTTTGAATGTTGACCTTGCCATTACCAGTCCAGTGCTTATCTTGCCCTATCATACCAAGGTCCTGGAGCCCAAAGTCACTTAGCAATTGAAGGCTGAGGCAATGCCCCCAACCCCAGCCCTGACTGTTCTAGGCCTGTCTTTCTCCCATGCTGGCTGCAGGTGATGGGGTCTCTCTGCCAAGCTGAGGGCCTCGGGAGCTACCCAACACAGGGCTCAGGGGGAGACTGGTGGCCTTCAGTTCCAGGTCATGCTGACCAGTCAGACTGCCCTGTGGGGAAGGGCTGTGGCCTCAGGTGCCAGCCCCCACATTAGGGCAGGCCTGGGGAGGTGGCTGCGGGGTCTTAGTGCGGGGTTTCCGGGACCTCCTTAGCAGTGGGATGATTGTTGGTTCTTCTGTGGCCCACTGGAGGGACTTGGGGCTGGAGCTCTGGACCCCACACGGGGTTCACAGAGGATGTGGCAGGGTTCCCCATCGGCCTTGTGGTCGTACACTCGTGACCTGGGAAGGGGCTTCAGTGAATGTGCACATTTGCCATTCCAAACTGGCAAGAACGTATCCCATTCTCTGGTGGCCATTTGCTGGATTCCCGTGCAAGTTCTCTGGGGCCCCTGTTCCCGCCTTGCTCCTCAGTCTTTTTTCCTGGCTCCACAATGGAAGAGATTTGGGGGCTGTCCCTGTCTGGCCTGCCTCTCGGGTATCTCCCTCCCACACCCGCTCCTAGGTCCGTGCCCACAGTGGGCCTCGGGGCTTGCAGGTAGCACGGAGGATTGCAGCGTCCAGCGGAGCCAAGATCTCAGCGCAGGGGCTGCGGGTTGCATCTGCGCTGGCTACAGCGCGATGTCCCATGTCCTGAGGATGAGCGAGTTCACTGGCACTGAGCCAGTGAGGGGAGGCCAGCCCTGTCTGTCTGTCTATCTGAGCTGGGTGTCCTGGTCTGCGCGTTCAAAGACCAGAAGACAGGACCCTGGGCCACGAGCGGCCAGAGTCAGACCGGTGGTGCCACCTGGCGGCCAGCTGCCGTCAGCGGAGGTGGACAGAGACGCGGCGGCTCAGGAGGATGAGGGGGGCGCGGGGCGGGGCGGTGGAGAAAGGGGGAAATCACCCGAGAAGCGGAGAAGCCGCAGGGGCTCGGTGGCCCTCACTCCATCATCATTGTCCCTAGAGTAGTCAGGTGGTACTAGTGTTGGGGGCCCCTTTGGAGGCCAGCCGAGGACAGAGGCAGTGGTTGGGATGGGTGAGTGGGCCCACAGAACTGAGCTGGGAGAGCTGCACCCTTTGGACTTCCGGGGGGTTGGGGGGGCATTGAAGGGGGGCTGCCAATGTGACCTGCAAGTGGGAATGTCTGGAGAAGGGAAGGGGCATCTCAAGTCCACTGGGACAAGGACTTAATCTCCAGAACCTGCTCCCTTTCCTCCCTAGTTTCAGCTGTCACTGGTGACCACTGTCCACTCTTTCTCTTTCCTCCTATCCCTCCTGGCTCCCTCCCTGCCACCCTCCTTCCCATCACCCCTGGGGTCTGACAGTGTCCCCTTTAAGGGTGGTGCTGGAATATGGGCTCTGTCGTTCCCCTGTCTTCTTCTGCCCCTTCCCAGGGAGCCTTAAGGAGGGTCAGTAGATGCAAAGGCTGTGTGGGCTGACCTGTGGGAGTGGGCACTGGTCAAGTGGAGGCAAGGGGACAGATACAGGGAGACAGGAGGCTTTCTGTGGAAACAGGTAGAATATATTTGAGAGTACGAGTTAGCGCCGACTTTTACAGTACAACCTCAGAGTTCACTTAATGACGTCCAGAAGGTGTTCCTGACCACAGACACCACCTTCTAGGAAGGCGATTTTTGCCCAGTTTGGTCTCTTTCAAGATATCAAAATAAACATACAGATTGCACCAAAGGTAAAAAATGAAAAAAGGGAACACAAATGTGAACCTTAGCCATACCTGTGAGCAGAGTGTGTCCTTCTGGGCTGCTCAGGGAGAGCATCAGGGCTCTGCCACTATACACTCCTCCTTGTTCGTCTGAGGACTCCTACCTGACTGCAGCAGCCCTTGCTGTTTTGCCCATTCAGACCAAGGGGCTTGGGGAGCCCAGTGGGAGACAACACACGTCTTCCATACAGGTAAGTCTTCCCGGAGCGTCCCTGATCCCTTCTTCCCCTCCAAACTCCCCAGTTAAACAAAACACCTGGGAGGCTTGTGTTCACATTACAACACGAAAATAGCACCAGAGACATCCGTAACATTGCTGATACTGCCAGCTGAAGGCTCCAACGGGGGCAGGCTCTGCATGGGACAACTGTGGGGGCTGAGGGACCAGGCGAGGGACTAGGGAAGGAGATCTGATGGACAGGCCGTGTCCCCCATGTTTCATGTGGAGACTGGTTCCCCGGGACACTGGGGGCAGTGGTCAGCATGGTGTGGTTGGGGGCTCACTAGAAGGGGCTGGCGGATCAGCACAGTCTCCCAAGACCCCCATTTGGTTCCTAAGTTTACGGTGGAATATTCCAGCAGCAGTAGCAAGACTCGACAGGAGCCTGTCCCCTAATGGTCTTCCCGGTTAGATAGACATTAGGGGGAAGCTGTGTGCAAAATGTCACCCTCCGGGGCTCTACAGTGTCCTTGCCTAGCACCCCTGGGAGGGGGGCTGCTCTCTCAGGAGCTGTGGTTGACTGCCCCCAGTCCCCAGCCCTCTCGCAGGGAGAAGTGGCTCTTGGCCCCGCACCTACCAGGACACCACCCAGCACTGGTCCAAATTTGTGCCCTGAGTCGGGGGGTCAGAGGGGGGCAGACCACCTGGCAAGCGGTCCCCAAGGCTGTGGTTATGACTGGGGCTGGTCTCATTTCCACACCTACTCAGGCTGTGCGCACTACTCGGAAGGCTCTCTCTTGAGCGGGATTTTGAAGCTGGTCAGTCGCCGCCCAAAGAGCTGACTAAGGAGGTGGCTCTGGGACTCGGCAGTATGGAGGGCACGGGGGCTGGGAGGGACAGCCCTGCCTCTCCTGGGGGATCCGTGTGGGGGTCTCTTCTCTGGGGCAGCCATAACCAGACCCTCCCTCTTGCGCCGGAAGCCCCCATGGCCGGGAGACACCCTCTGGCTGCTCAGTCTGGCATTGGCAGGAGGGACTCGGCTGGGGACCGCTTGCTTCCGAGGGTTCCGGGGAGGCCTGTCAGGCACAGAGGGGTCTCTCCCCAGACTCTCCAGGGTTTCACTCCTTGTGGGTCCTGGGGCGCGGCCCCTCCTCTTCCCCCCAACAGCCCACATGCTCTCTTTAGGGCCAAGACTGCCTCCAGGCCCCAGTTCCCTGCCTCCCTGGGGCCCCAGGCTACAGCCCTTGGCTGGGGCTTGGGGAGGAGGCTTGGCTGGTGGGGGACTTGGGCCCTGGCAGGGGGGCTTGCCAGGGGTGGTGGCCGTTTCACTTTGGAGCTGCCCGCTGGCCGGCTGGGGCTGACTGCCACCCCCTACTATGGGACCGTGTCGGGGGTCCCCACTGCCCTGGGAGCTGAGGTCCAGTTTGACTTTGGGAGGTGTGGACCTTGGCCTGTCCTCAGTGTCCCTGGCTGGCTCTGCAGTGGCCGCACTCAGCAGGACCTTCCTTGGCGGTGCCACAGCTGTGAGACCTTTGCCATCAGCTGGACCCCGGGTACTCCTGGCTTTGGCAGCACCTCCTTTGTGGGGGGCACCCCCTGGGCCTCCCTCGGCCACCATGTGGCTCCTGGGCACCAGCTTCTCTCTTTGGATGAGGGGGGTGTCTTCCAGGGATGGGCCAGGGGCACACTTGTGGGGTGCTCTTGGCTTCCTGTGCTTCACCCAAAGTAGATGAGGAGCCGTCTTGTCCGCTAAGTCTTGGCTTCCGGCCCCCGGTGGGACATCGTGTGGGTGAGGGGGCAGACGGCTGTCAGGCGGAGCCTCATCCTCTCGCCCACCTTTGCCACCAGCTGGGGCTGCTGAGGAAGGAGACAGGGGCGGAGGTAGAAGCTCCGGGCAGTCAGGTGGCGCGCCGTCCTCAGGGTCCAGCGATCTCTCCTGGGTCTGGGACAGTCCCTGAGCAGTGCTTAGAGCTGGCTCCGGGAAGAGAGGATACAAGGCTTCGGGGGACGCAGTGTCTGGGGCGGGGCTGCTGTCCAGGGATTGTGGTCCATCCACGCTGGATCTTGGGGCACTGCCGGGCATGGTTACCCGGCGCCGCTTGCTCGGCAGCGTGCCCTCGAAAGCCGCGGCCTTCTTCCCAGGGGCCCCTGGCCTCCTCACGCCTCGAAAGGCGAAGGGCTGCTGCCCAAGCCTCCGGTGTTTGTCCATATGACGATCGAACTGTTCTTTCTTGGCGAAGGTGTAGTTGCAGGCGCTGCAGATGAAGGAACGCTTGATGATGCGCATGACGGTGGCACAGAGCTCGCAGGCGTACAGTGGCGTGGCCGGCCGCTCGGCTTCTCCCTGCGCCGCGTGCTCCTGGCTGCGGTGGGCGCGCAACTGGCTGTGCTCGGCATAAACCCTTGGGCACTGCGGACACAGGAAGACGCGCTGTGGGCTGTGCACCGCCAGGTGGCGCTGCAGCTTGAAGGGCTTGGGGAACTGCTTTCCGCAGTGGTGGCAGTGGCGGGAGGGGTCTTTGCAGTCTGCATGCACCGGTGTGGCTCTGAGGAGGGGTTCGTTAAGGGAACAATGATCGGAGGGTAAGCTGGGTGGCGCCTTATTGGAGCTGGACAGAGCGAAGTTGGGTGGGCTCTTGATGGCCAAGACATTGGTATTGATCACGTCGCCGCCTGGCGTCAAGGTGCCATCTTGGTCTGAAGGGTTGGCCCTGGGAAGTTTGGGTGTAGCCGTCGCCTCCCGTGCAGCCTCTGGGGAGCCCCCGTTGACTTTGGGGATGGCGTTCTGGCCCCTGTGGGGAAGGGAGACCTGCCCTACGATGTTGTTAAGGAAATGTGGGAGGAGGCTGCCCTCCTCCACGCAGCCGGACAAGTCCCCCAGGGATGTCCGCGCATGGCCCCGGCGGGCGAAGCGCACAGCGTGCTCACGAAGGTGTTCGTTGTACATCCAGACGTCGGGCACCTGGTGCAAGCACATGCCGCAGGTCCACAGGCCGGCCTTACTTTGACCATGCTTCTCCCGAAGGTGTTCTCGTAGCAGCTGGCGTGAGCCGAACCTACGCTCCACACACATGTAGCAGGTGGGCGGCGGCGAGGGGCTGTGGGCCATCTTGTGGAGGTCCAGCTCGCCCAGGCCTCCGAATCGCCGGAAGCACACCCTGCACTTATAGGAGCCCCTCTTGACTCTCGTCTGGGGGTCTCGATTGGGGTCTCCTTCGGCCACTTCTGACCTTGTGCCCTGTAGCCCCTGTGAGCTCCTTCCTGCCTGGAGGTTTAGAAAGTGCGAGCTGGGAAGCCCCCTGGGGTCTTCACAGGATTCCAGAAGGGACAGGTCTTCCATTTCAAACTTGGTGCTAAAAATGTCAAAATCCAGGCCTGGGAACGGTAGCATGTCCGCATTCTCCGGGGATCGGTTATCACAGCCTTCTTTCTCCAGGCTAGGGGGCTCGGGACTCATTTCCCCCAAAGAAGAGGTCTCATTGGGGGAGTTTTGCAGCTCCAGGCCTGGCCAGGTGGCTGGGACTCTGTGCAGTTCGGGGAGACCCTCTGACATGTTGTCTGGGTGCTTCTCCTCCGTGGGGGTGGAGGAGGGGGAGGGCCCCTTCTCCGGCTGCTCCAGGTCCCACACGCTGGGTCCGGGACTCCAGGGTCTGATGTCCGGCACCTTGCTACTGAGGATGCTGTCCACTAGGAAGGCCTCTGGCAGGTCAGAGGCATCATTCTCCCAGAGCTCCTCGGGGGACAGACACGGGGAACCACAGTCTCTGAGGTCTGTGGGCAGGCGGGTGGAGCACAGTGGGGTGGTGTCCCCCACCTTGCTGTGTGGCTCAGGGGTCGGTGGTGGCTTTGGCTTCTTCCCACAGCGCTGTCCGTAGACACGAGGGTTCTTCTTTCTCACCAAACGGTCGCCCAGAGGAAAGAGCTGAGAAAACGAAGTCTCATCATCAAACAGCCCCAGGGGACCCACAAGACCGGGGCTGGAGGCTCCTGACAAGCTGCTCTGGATATGATCCCCAGCCTCTGGGTGGCTCAGGAAGCCCTGGGGGCTACAGTTGATAGGGCTGCTCGATTTGGAACTGGGAGACTTGGAGGCACCTTGGGGCTCTGAGGAGAGCTTACATGTCCCCATCATGCCTTTCCCTGCCCAGCTCTTGGACCCCCGGCCATCATCTGCAGCCCTGCTCCTGGCTGCCTGAGAGGGTTTCCTGCCACTGCCAAGTATGGCTGCATCCCGCCCCGCCTGGTGAGGGGTCTCCTCCACGTGTCCCATCACCCCTGGCTCTGGCGTGGCAGCACGAGAGGGCTGTAGCTCATCCTTCTCCTGCTCTCCCTCTGGTGAGAGGCGGTGGCTGGGGCGAGCTGGGTAATTGGCAATCGCACTTGATGGATTTGAGTCGGGTCTATCTGAAATCACATCAGGAGAGACTTGAGGACAGCTCTCCTCCGAGTCAGAAGCCTCGCTCTTCTTCCGGAACCTTTTCACGCTCACTTTCCCCCATTTTTGATGTGACTTCTTAGAGTCGCTGGGGAGATGCTGTGGCCTTCTGCCTTGTCTCTGGGATGCTCTTGTCTCTGTGTGCTTGGCTCTGGGTATATCGTCCTGCACTCTGCCTGTCTTCCTGGGTCTGGGGACTTGAGGCATCACACTTGCCTCTTGTCCCAGCAGGTCTGGGGTCTGTGGCTCAGGGTGAGGTGAGGAACCTGGTGTCCCAAGAATGCCGTGGCCCTGCCTTGTCTCCACAGGAGTCTCTGTTCCCAGACTGTCCTCAGGGAAGCTCTGGCCAGAGCGTGGCCTTGATTTATCTTTCCCCGGCGTCTTTCGGCCTTTCTTTCCTGGGGTCCGGGTGATGCTGGCTGAGGGTGCCCCATGAGCAGAGAGACCAGTTTGGTGTGCTACAGATGAACCGTTGCGATGCTTCCTGGCCTTATGCCGGCTCAGCCCAGGCCCTGAACGGAAGGAAGCCCAGCAGACCTCGCAGGTGACCGCGGGTGTTGAGGCTTGACTGGTACCCTCTGTCCGATGGCTGTGCCCTGAGGACTGGGGCTTTTTTTGGAAGCCCTGGGACTTCTGCTTGGAGTCTTGGGGACATGGGGGGTCTCCCCCAGGTGCTTGGCAAGGGACGTGTCTGTGGCTCTCAGAGTGTCCAATGCCAGGTGACTTGCAGTCCTCTCCGACCTCAGACCCTATGGCCTCTCTAGGACACGGGCTTGTGGGTTTGGCTGTGACTTGCTGACCTTCTCCGGGGCCTAGAGGGTCTGAGGAGGCACAGTGAAGTTCTGGGGACACGATCCTGGGGTCCAGTGTCTGCAACCCTCTAGTCACCTCTGTGCCATATGCAGTGGGAACTCGGGGACCCCTAGGGGCCTTGCTGGTTCCTCTCAGGGAGACAGCTTTGGCTGGGGGAGAAGGCATTGTATGGGTAGGGGACCTCCTCAGCCTCACTTTCCGGGGCTCTTCTTGTATTCTGGGAATACTGTTGTTAGAGGAATGCCCTCCATGGGCAGGGCTCACGTCTGGCTGGCCCCCCGTGAGGGCGTCCACTAAGGGATTGTTGTCTGCTGGGCCTCCCTCAGGGCTACAGGGGCTTGTCCTCCCTGGTGGGGGCTCAGCTGGGCACTGCACATGACCGGGGGTGCACTTGGCCCTTTGCAGGGGTGTCTGGGTAGGGGGAGGGGCTAGCAGATGCTGAGGGCACTGGGGGTCCCCACAGGATGGAGATGCTGGGAGCAGTCTCCCCTTGCCTTGGACTCCTGCAAGCACAGAGAGAGGGTCCTCTCTGGGTAGGGGCTCAGGGCCATGGGTCCCCTGGGGGGATGCGGAAGCAGTTGAAGGTATGCAGTCTGCTGGATCTCTGATGGGGTCCGCCGACCTCTCTCTAGCAGATGGCAGCCACTTTCGGGGGCCCGGCCTGGCCACCTTCTCTGCCACATGGTCATCATGCCCATGGGTAACCGTCAGGGCCAGGAGTGAGGTCTCCTTGTCAGGCGACGTGGGACTTGGGGGGTTCTCTGCCTTGTACTGTGGACTCCAGGCCACTTTGTCTCCCTCGAGCTGTTCTCTGAGCCTGTCCGTCCCCCCAGCGTGCCTGGTCAGTGCTGCCCCAGGTTTGATCTTGGCAGAGGTGAGCTCCTCTGGGTCCCCTTGCTCTTCTGGCTGCCACTGGCTGGGTTGGCCTTGTCTCTCTGGGGCCTGAGACTTGGCTTGGCTGACCGAGCCCAGGCATCTATCTGCCTCTGTTTCTGGAGGATGTCCGGCCACTGCACAGGCAGTTGTCCCTTGGCTGTGGGTCACGCAGCTACTGTCCAAACCATCCCCTCCTGGACCTGAGGGCTTGCTGAGCTGAGGAAACTGGGCTCCACCTTTGCTCTCAGTGGCTCTGGTCACTAGGAGTCGGAGCTGACCCAGGGGACTGGCGATGGGGGACACAGGTTCTGGTTGCACCTCTGCTGAGTTGGACCCCTTGTTACCCAGTGAGCATTTCTGGGGTGCATGGCAGTGTCTGCTACTAGAGGGGGACATGGCCCCCAGAGGTAGACTCCCACCAGCTTGGCCCTCCATACCAGGTATTGAATGGGCGATGGGGCTGTAGCAGGTCCCCAGTTTGGCATCTTGGCACGGCCCCCCTGCCTCGAGGGGCTCTGGGCACTGGATTCCTCCCAGTTTTGGGGGATGCAGCATCAGGGTCTCCCCACTTGGATGTGTTCTGGTGGTCTCATTACTTCTAGGGAACCAAGGCTCTTGGTCTGGGCTGCGTTCCGTTGTACCGTTTGCATCAAGAGGGGGTGGGATCAGCTTGAAGGTGGGGGGCGAACTGTGGTCTCTCTGGGCTTGCGTGGGCTCCGTCTTCTGGTCTCTGGCTGTCTGGGGAGATGGTTGAGCAGTGTGGCTGGGCCCAGAGGGGCCGATCGGAGCTTCTTGGACACCAGGATGCAGGACCACTGCCATGGTGGGGTGGGAGGCTGAGTCTCCCCGGGTTCCTTCCTCGGATGCCACCATCATTCCCTGATGATCCTGACAAGGACTTGACCTCCCAAGACTAGCAAGGCCATCTGTCAAGAGCGGGCCACTTGCTGGGTATCTGCTGCCCACAGGCTCTGAGTCCGGTGGCATGGGAGCCTGGCACTGGGCCGTGCTAGTCTGAAGCTGGCTCTCCAGCTCGGTGACCAGCCGCTTAACTTCTAGCTCCTCCTCTGATGTGCTGCTCTCCAGGTCACCATGCTCTTGTCCCTTCCCCGGCAGGGGGTGTAGGCTGGCCACTGAGGGCCCCTCACCTTGATACCTCTGGCCACACGACCTTCCACCCAGGGGTTCAGGGCACATGTCGCCCAGCACTGACCAGACCTTCTCAGGGGTACACTGGGGTTCCAGCAGGGGTCTCCTCAGGAGTGGGGTGGTACAGGTGGGCGGCACGTGGTTGTCCTTGTGTGCCAGCCGGGTGTCATAGATCGGGGGATGGAAGCCGTCCACGGGCAGCCTGCTGAAGAGTGAGGTGGACTCCAGGGTTAGCAGGGCCTGTGTGTCACTGGGCTTGGTTACAGTGGGCTGAGAGACATTCCTGGGAGACTTGGGTATGAGGGGCCTGGTGTCCACATTGTCCTGGCAAAGGCATACTCTGTGGACTGGCCCGTCCTGGGCTGAGGGTTTGGAGCCCAGGTCTTTGAGGCAGGAGCCGTCCTGCATTTTGGACCCAAGGAGGAAGTCAATGCAGGGGCGTCCACAGGGCTGGGGACCTTTTTTGGCAACAGAGACCCCCACAGGGTCACCTTCAGAATCTAGAGGCTCCCAGCCCAGACCACAGCTCTTCACAAGCAGCGTGGTAGGTGCCGGGTGGGCAGCATTCAGGGTACTTGTAGTGGGCATGAGACCTTCTCCTGGCTGGGACTTGGGGGGCGGCCCTTGGTCAGGAGAGAGCAGGGGCTGGGCATCTGCACCTGAAGGTGGGGTGTGCCCCCTCTGTTTCATGCAGGCAATGATTCCTGATGACTGAGGTGGACTGGGATCTTCTCGGCCAGGTTGGGGCTGCTCAGGGGCTGGGGGGCTGCTGCCTTTGACTTCGCCGTTGCTGAGGGACAGGTGAGAATCCTCTACAAGTGAGGAGCTGCCAGTGGGGGCTTCTCCAGCAAGTTCAGCATGCGTGGTCTCTCGGGAGACCCTCAGGAGTGGGCACTTTTCCTCAGGGGTCTCTGTGCTGGCACCCCTGGGCACTGTCTCCCCCTGGGGCTCTGCACCGAGTGCCCCTGGGACCCGGGAGTCCCTGTCCAGTCTAGCTTCCTGCCTCACAAGCTTCTTGGGTGTCCACTGGTTTTGCTCCTCTCTGGGACCTGGGGTCCCCTCCACGTCCTTCCGCTTCTCCCCTCGTCTGCCTCCCTGACAGCTGAGGCGAGTCCGGACTTGGGCCCTGGTTGCCTGCTGCGGAGGACCAGGTGGAGCTCCCGGGCCTTGGTCCTCCTTTGCCTCGGAGGTATAGTCATAGTCACCAAGCCAGCTGTCAGTGGGGCAGGGTGGGGGCTGGGCGGCCACCAAGGAGACGTGGGCAGCACGGCCTCGGCCGGCCCGCCGTCGATGAAGCTCGTTCTTCTGCCGCACAATCTTGTGGATGAGCTCCTTGCTCCAGCGGCCGCTCCGTGTTGTCCGCCGCCGGCTGAGTTTGCTGCGGGGCAGACGCGGGCACCGTGAGCTCTGGGTCCGTGTGGGCAGCGGGCTGGCATTCAGGGTCTGGCCACCTGTGTCCGCGTGGCCCCTGGGGGCCCGGGGGGTTCGTGCTTGGTGCGGGGGGCTGTCTATTCTTCTGCCTTTCCTCCTGGGTCTCAGCCCGATGGCCCTGGAGCTTTCTCCTGGCCCCTGGGCTGCGTCCAGTCCCTCTCGGAGCAGCTTGAACCGCTTACCCCTCCTGGGGGGCCTGGCCCCCTCTGCCTCTGGGGGCACCTGACCCTGAGAGCGGGTTTCAGGTCTGTGGCAGGGTGTGCAGTCCTTGGCTCCAGGGCTGGGGGCTCTGGGCTTCAGGGTGGACGTCGGGGATGGCAGCAGAGACTGGGCCCTGGGCTCTGGAGTCGGCCCTGCTTTGGTCTTGGGGGTCTGCCCAGCACTGGGGACCCTGAGGCCTAAAGGGTCCTCATCGGTAAAAACGTCGATGAAGCTGCTGTCAATCTCGGGGGGCTGCGAGGGGTCGTCCAGGCCATTGAGCGCCTCGGTGATGAGACTGTCCAGCTTCGCCACATCCTCCAGGTCCAGGTCGGAGGCCGGCAGTGGCAGGGGGGTGGCGGCGAGGCCCTGGAGGACGTCCCCGTCCGACAAGAAGCCGGCCAGTTTGGTGTGGCCCAGCAGACTCGGGTGGTGTGTGTCAGCTGGGGCCCTGGGCAGTGGACCACAGAATTGACGGTGCTGCAGAAAGGAGGCCAGGTTACAGAAGTTCTGCTCACACTGCCGACAGGTCAGCAGCACATCCAGCTGGTCCAGGTTGGCGCTGCTCAGGGGGAAGTGGTGGGCTGAGTAGGGAAGGGGCTCCTGGGGGTAGCCTCCCAGGGCCGCTCTAGCTGAGTCCGGGCCCACGCTGGTAAACGGTACCTCCTGCAGGCTCTCCAAGGCCCCATCGGCCCCCAGAGCCTCCTCGGGGAACGGGAAGGCCTTGGGCTCAGGCTGGTAGTGGATGGGGAGGGTGGTGAGGGGCTCTGAGGGTGGGAAGGCACTGCTGCCCTCCTGGGGGTGGGCGGGAAGGGGGTGGAAGAAGGCCGAAGGCCCTAGCGGTCCGGGCAGCTGGCCCTCCTCTGAGCTGGGGTTGGCTGGGCTGCTGGACAGTGGTGACAAGGAAGAGCAGGAGCTGCTACTGGCCGCGGTGGTGGCTGGTGAAGGAAGTGGAGACTCACTCGGGGAGGCACCCACTCCTCTGGGCAGGGGAAGACCAGGAGTCCCTCGGGGTGAAGCCTGCGGTGGGGTCACCCCGAAGAACAGGGGCTGGGTGCTGGGGTCCTGCAGGTTGCTGTACGGAAACAGCCCTGAGGGGCTGCTGTTGGGGGTCCCGGAGCCGTTCCTCGGTACTGTCAGCTTCTCTGCTGTCCCGGCTGTGTGGCTGGGGCCGCCCAGGGCACCTTGGCTGTTGCCTGGCCACTCAGGGGCCCTGGTGGAGTACGGCAGTTGGTTCAGTAGCTCCATGGGTGTTGGCTGGGACCCAGGAGCCGGGAGCACAGGGGACCAGGGCAGTGGGGGGCTCTGTGGGAGGCAGAGTCTCTGACCTTCAAAGAACATGCCCCTGGCTGGGGCTGGGGGTGCCGGGGGCACGGCAGGGTAGGGGGCTGTGGTGGGGTCCACTAGGGGCAGGACTTCACTGGCCCCTTCCCATAGCTGGGGTCGTGGAGTGGGAGCGGGTCTCGGGACGGCCAGTTCCTTGTCCAGAGGCCCCGGGCTGGTGCCCAGGCTGCTGGGCCCTGGGCTGTTGTAGGGTTTACCCAGAAAGTGCATGGGGGGCAGAGGGTTTAGGGGCCCCCTTGGACTGGCCGCCCCATCGTGGGCGGACGGTGGCCTCTCGGGCAGGGCTGGGGTCAGGCTTTTGTGTAGACTACCTGGGAAGGGGCTGGGGGTGTGGGGAACAGCCCCAGGAGGGGAGAGAGTCCTACTGAGATGTTGGGGTGCATCGAGGCTGCTGGCTGGCCCGGAGTATGGGGGCAGCAGTGGAGGTGGTGGCAGTTGGGTGGGGCCCACTGGCCCCTTGGGCCATGAGTGGGGAGTTGGGTGGAAGGTAAACGCTCCATCGTCTGTGTACTTGTGCTGGGCCCTGTCCACCGCGAAGGCCTTTGGGCCAGCTCCGTGCAGCACTGGGAAAGGACATTGAAAGGGGCCCACCCCAGCTCCCGGGCTGGGCCCACCACCTTCAGGGAAAGTCTCGGGCTTGGTGGGCGGGACCCCGAAATTAGCAGCTGGGAAACTGTTCTCGGAGGCAGGAGACCAGACGTCGGCCCTGCCAGCTGGAAATTCTGTGTAGGAGGCGGGTCTGCTGGGCCCTTGGGTCCGGGGGGCTCTCAGGGGCGGGGGCCCAGGCGTGGGGCTGGGTGAGGTATAGTCGGTGGAGGTAAAGTGGGAGGGGGTCTCTGGAAAGCACCTGTGAGAGTTGAGCTCTTTACACGGAGGCCCACTCTTGGCCCTCGGAAGGCTGGGTGTTAGGGGGGCTCCCGTACCTGGGCGTCCCTCAGGGGTCTCGTTCTTTGTGCTGGTGATGCTCAGCCTGTAGAGTTGCTGGGGGCCACCATGCTCCCTGCCTGGTCGTCGGACTCTCGTCTGAGTGTGGCCCTTCCCGGGGGACCCCTGGGGGGCGCCCCCTTTTCCGAGCTGCCATGGGCTGCTGCTCAGAGTCCTGGGCCCCACTTCGCTGGCCTGCCTTGGCAGAGACTTCGGGGGCTCTGTGGCCTGGACCTCACTGCCCACCTCCTTTGTGCCCTTGAGGCTGACCTGGGTGCTGCCCTCCTTGGGAGGCTGGGAGGTACGCCCCGAGTCTCGTCCAGTTGTGGCAGGGGGCAGTGCTCTGAGGGGCTGCTCCGCTGGCATAGCCGCTCCGTCTGAATGCTAGGAGGATGTAGGGGGCATAGGGGGACCACAGGGGATGGGCCGGGTGGGCTTGGGGGCCATTGTCCACCTATGGAGGTTCCCGACGAAGCTGGCTGTCATGGTGTCGGCACGATGGAGCCTGGAAGAGAAGGACAGTAATGAGTCCGGCAAACGGGCTGGCTGGTCCCCAGCATGGCGTGCACATGGACCTGGTTGTTTCCTGTGGAGGCGGCGGAGCCACTGTGGCTGGTACGGAACCCCATAAGGGGAGGGGTCCTTCTCTCAGAAGGTGTCTTGGGGAGATAAAGGAGGGGTTTTTGTTAGACTCAGCAAGAGATTCCCTAGAGGGAGGGATGGAGAGACAGAAACAGAGGAAGAGAGACACAGAGAGAGATAGAGAGGCAGAGGAAATGAAACAGACAGAAAGAAAGACACGCACACAGAGACAGACAGCGAGAGAGTGAAAGAGATACAGAGAGAGAGAGCCCTGTTGGGGTTGCAGTGGTCTGGAAACACCGTGGGGAGCAAGGGAGTCCACACATGCCTGCTTGTCTCAACTTGGACAGCCGAGAGGATCAGCCCGATAGTCCCTCTGTTTCTAAATCCTGAGGGGCTCTGGAGAAGCCCCTTCCTGTCCCTGAGCGTCGGTCATCTCCTCTGTAAAATGGGAGGGGGTTGGGTTTAAGGGGCTCCAAGGAGTCTCAAAAGTGGAGGCTCTAGTTTAGGGCTTAGCTTGGAGACCTCTCCTTCCCATTTAGCAAGGCCCAGTCCCACGCACAGTCCCTTGCTAGAGCCCGTTGTCCGGAATGAACTTGTTTTGTCTGTGGCATGCCTCTGCTGACACCGACTCACAGCCAGCGCAGGAACTGGAGGCTGAGTGCTGAGGTGGTGGACTGACCACCAGACTCTGGACCATCCGGTGTCTGTTCAGCTCTGAGCTGAGGTGAGCTCAGAATGCTAATGAGGGAGGGTTGGGAAGTTAAAAACGGGGGCCTCTGCCCACTCCATCTGGAACTACCTGAAGTCTCCCACCAGGGCCTGTCCTCCCAGGCAGCTTCTCCTGACATCGAATGTCCCCACGAGTTTTCTGTCCTATGCCGACTTTATTGGGAAAACTCGTCATTCTTCAGAGAAGCTAATCTAAGTCATTTGGTAGAGGAAACAATTACATCAGACAAATTCATACTAGAGTGTGAAGAGCTTCACCTCAAAACCCCCAGAGAGGCTGTGCTTAAGCTGCCAGAGAGCCACGATCATGCCCAACAAATTCATACTAGAGTGTGAATGGTTACATCTCCAGAGAGGCTGTACTTGGGCCTGTAGATGCTGTTACCAGAGAGATGGGAGAAATTCGGCAGATTTGGAGGAGCACTTCTGTAAGAATCTTTGTAGGGTTTAGACCTAGCCAGATGAGCTCTGAAGTGGGCCCATATCTGCAGAAGGTGCATAGGGGATGCTATTTTGAAGGAGGGAGGTGTATCTGCCGACCCACAGAGCTATCAGAACCCCCAGCAACCACACAGGAAGTGACTGTAGGGGTGGAAATACAGGCAGTTTCGCATCTCGGGGCCCCTCCTGGGAGAACAGGGCCTCCTTCCTGCAACCACTAGAGCTTGAACAAAGGGGAGCCCAGGCCCGGTCAGCACCTGCACTCTGCCAGCTCTGGGCTTCTGCCCTGGGAGACCTGCCGGGAAATCCCATTTGGGTTCCTTGGGGACTGGGCAATGCTAGGGAGCCCTGTGAGCGCAGTTCCAGAACCATCCAGGAGGTGGCGTTGGATGGTGTCTGGCTGGACTCTAACAGATAAGTAAGGCAGGCATGGGATTACTTGTGCATGCGCACTCATCTCTGGTGAACAGACTCACTCTTGCACCACATCAGAGAGTCTGCCTCTGTCTGTCTCCCAACCCCACAGCACCGTCTTACAGACTCAAAGTAATCTCTTAGCAAATGTACAATCGCTGTTAGGGAGCGTACTCACTCAGCAAGGTAGGCACGAGATTACTTGTACTTATTCGATAATCTGCAGAGAACTGTTTCACACAGATTTCACCACGACTCTTCGCTATAGATCATAGTAAGCATAAGTAAGCCTGTGCTTACCTTTCCTACTGAATATTTTGATTCTGATCTCTGTGGTGGCAGACCCGTCCACCCGGCTGGCCTTAGATGAGGGTGAGGGGATACTGGCAACCTTGAGCAGACTCGGGGACTCATGCTGTCTCTGTGGGGTGTGAGTGGTCACTGGAGTCGGCCTGGTATCAGGGACTGGCTCTTGTCTCAGCACTGTCTTTCTGACACCTGCCCAGTGCCAGGCATCAGGAGGAGCAGGCAGATGACAGCAGCTGGTCCTCCAGCCTGCCTCAGTGCACCGGGTCGGGGTGCTGGCACACAGAGGCTGTGGGGACAGGAGAAGACCACTGGAGGGCAGCAGGGAGCCTTCTGGAGGAGGCTGCCTCTGAGGTTCCTGGGTGGAGCACTTGGGACTGCAGAGGGGTGTCTGAGGGAACCAGAAACAGTGTGCACTCGCTTGGGAGGGCGGCCAGTGTGTGGCTCCGAGCAGGGTGGCCACAAGAGTGGCCCCAGCTCTCATGTAACCTGCCCAACTTTGGGCATCAGTGAGCTCTGTGAAGCAGAAAGCCTCACACTGCCAGAGATACGGCAAGCTGTTCAGAGAGGACCAGGCCTGGCCTGCAGGGCCCAGGGTGTAATTTTAGAAGTCGCAAGGCAGGTGGACTCTCCACACAGGGGCAACAGCTGGGGTTCCCCTGAGGCCTGAGAAGGTCTTCCCTTAGTCCACAGCCTGAGGCCCCAGGAGAGGGAGAAGGAAGAGAGGGGGCTAGACCCACCATGGCTACAGAGTGATTCCAGGGCATTGATGCCAACTCCCATCATGCCTTCACACATCACCCAGTCCCACCAACCTGGCCTCATCTGTAACCCGGGGCGGCACCACGGCAGGTTGGCATTACTTGTCTGTGAGTCTCTTGTGGACCCTGATTCACGGTGGCCCTTGTGTGTCAGAGAAGAACTGTGCTCCACGAGGGGACTTAAAAAATTCCATTTTCCACAAACTTTGTGAAGTCCCCTTGTAGATTTTCAGGGCTTTCTTCTGTGTTGCCTCTGGGTAAACAGCAGAGCACATGGCTCATTAGGGCTGCCTGGGACTCAGCTCACAGATGCAGAGAAGACGAGAATGGAGCTTGTCCACAGGCAGTAGGAGGATTAAGACCCGGCACAGGACGTGTCTATTATACGGGGTGCGGGAGAGGGACAGCTGGCCATTGCTGAGTCCATTCCAACTCAACGCAACCCTCTAGGATAGGGTAGAACTACCCCGTAGGGTTTCAGAGGCTGTAAACCTCGACCGGAGCAGACTGCCACATCTTTCTCCTCCATAGGGCCTGCTGGCTTTGAACTGCTGACCTTGTGGTTAGCAGACCAGTGACTAACCTATTCCGAGTAGAGGAGCCCAACATTGGTTTGATGATCTGAAAAGCGCTGAGTCCACGGGCTTTTATCAAGGAACGGAATGGACAGGCCTGGCCGCTGCCCTGGAAACAACTGCTAAGACACTGCCCCTCCTGACCGCTGGCTCAGGCGCCAGTCCTGACAGCTGTGCCCTGCAAGACAGTCCCTCAGGGAGGCAGCTGGCAGCCCTGTTCGGAGTGGGGGGTCTGAAGCCGGGGTGGCAGCTAGAGGGGAAGCTCTGGGACAAGCTCTGGCCATGGGCCAGCCAGCCTTTCGCACATACCTGGGGAGTCAGCCCTCAGCTGGGCCGCCACTCAGCCTCTTGATGGGCCAGAGCTTCTTGTCTGCAAAGGCAATGGAGGGTGTGTCAGGGTGGATGTGGGCCTGGTGTCTTGGGAGGGCATCAGAGCGGCTCCCGGAATTAGGGAGCACTGGGGTTCAGCGGGCTGCCCTCTCCAGAGTCTCATTACGGCAGCACACTGCCTTTGATAACTGTCACCTATGTACAAGTGGCAGAGCTCAGAGGCCTGCACATAAGCGATGCTACGTCCCGTCCAGGCTCTCCCCGAGTCCAGTCAGTCCTTCCTCTCCTCTCCCCAACAGAGCGTCTATCACCCTCCCCCTTAACTCAACTTGGAGAAAGTTCCAGAGCAGTCCATAAGGCGATTCCTGCCTGCCTGTAACTGACCCACCTGCTCACGGCTGCGAGGTGTCCCACTGAAGGGGTGGACAGTGAGCCACGTACTAGACCCCTACCCGTGGACACTGGGCGTTTCTGGTATTCACCTCTTCAACAGCCCAGCTCTGAGCAGACTTGTGGGGTGGACGCTCAGAGGGGGCCTGCAGTCGTCACAAAACCCAGTGGTGGTTTTAACGTATGTCCACAAATTTGTCAACACCTTCCCCTCTCAGGGTGAAGCCTAATCTCCACCCTTTGAATGGGAACTGGACTTTATGACTTTCAAACAAACAGAAAATGGTGGAAATCACAGGGCGTGTGACTTTTGAGACCAGCTCATGAAAGGCATCATGGCTTCCTCCCAGTTCTCTCTTGGATTGCTTGCTCGGGGAAACCGAGCTGCCATGTCAAGAGGATGCTGGAGCAGCCCTGCCGAGGGGTCAGATGACTGGGAGCCATGTAAGGAACCATGTTGGAAGTGGCGCCTCCAGCCCTGCCAAACCTTCCGACGAACCTGCAGCCCTGCTCACACTCAACTGCAACGTCGTGAGGGACCCCCAGACCAACTGGCTGAGCAATGCCTGAATCCTTGACTCTCAGAAGCCATGAGACAAGAGGCTGATACCCTAGAGCGCTGGCTAACACATCCTCCTTTGAGTTGTCCTGACTTGCGACTCCTATACAGGGAGCCCAGAGATTTTGAGGCGAGTGCAGGCCGAGAGCAGGGATGGCCCTTCACTCTGGGGTCCAGAGAGGAAGTCCTGGAGGCAGGTCACCCTCCCAGCATTCACCCTTTCACACATCTTTTCACCTGCCCTGTCCACGCACTGGGCACACAGTGGTGAGTAAC